GACAGAATGGGTCGTGACCCACCAACGGGGCCGGGCAGGAATTGTGGCATTTAAGTACACAGATACCAGACGCAGACGGCCGTATCCAAAGCATAATGAGCTCGAGATAATAAAATTTTCCACCGAGCTCCTCCATTATTTATATTCAAGAACACGTCAGGGGAAATTTTTACACTTACACGATTTTTTTATGTTTTAAGGGTGGCAAACAAGAATATGGCCCTGGTGGTAAGCGGCACCATAGACTATAAGAGGCTGCGATACTAAAAATATCAATCGAGCCGCTGCCTACCCTGACCCAAACCCCTACTTCATGGAGCCCTGGAACCTTACTCACCCACAGAAATAAGTAGTATTATTTTACTGTGATGTTCTGTAAGGTGGAGATTACTTCCCCAGACGGACGCTTTAATCGAGCGGAAAATCCGCTATGCCTTAAATATTTTTTTCTCGTGATGGAATATTATTTTATATAATGCCTGAAAGAGCTGCTGCTTTATAAATAATTTTGAGCTTACAAAAACTTAGATAGGTACTCAAGTTTTTATGAGTTTGAAAATATTTTTTTAACTTGACGGGGGGCGCTCATTGATCTGTGAAGACGAAAATAGTAGGTAGGTAGGTACACATTGCAAAAGTTTGTGCATAGCATAAATCTGCAAAAACTGTAAAAACGCGTCTGGTAAGCAGAGGTATACCTACCAATGTAATATTAATATTTCAGTATTCCGACGCAATCTGATTACAATATTGTAAACATGTTTTATCAACTGCTTTTTGAATTATAATTAATATTAATTACCTATAAATAAACGTCGGCAAGTATCCTCAATAGTCTGATAAATAAATAAGGTTTTAAATAACGCGGAAAGTCTACACTATTTCAGGCTATGATTTCATTTAGTGCGCTCTATAGTTAGGTAGGCAATATGTTGATGGCAGTTAGCTAAAATATTACCAATTTTTTTTAAGAACTATGAATTTTGATTTTATATATAGATTACATTCGTTGAATGTGATTAAAAGACAGATACTTTGTGTTTTAAACAAAGAAAGAGATCTTCTTTCTTAACATTAAACTTAGGGGCATAACCGATTTAAGTTGAACTGTGCTGTGTTATTGTGGGTTCGTATTCAAACTGAAAGTTCTACTGATTCTGTAGATTGGTACTTTCCAACTCAGAAGGACAAAACATAAAGTGGAAGAGTAATTATCTCGATTAGTTTATAAATTAGCTGGCTCATTATTTAACCAAAGCATGTGCGACACAAAGTGCCTAGGTAGAGATAAGGTATAGAATAACTATTTAACAAGTAACAACGCAACTAGGATAATAAATAATGTTTTAACTATCTTAACAAAGAAACAAATCCAATCGAATAATAAAGAAAGAAACTTAGTACCTAATACATTGACAGCATTATTTCTACACACATGTAATATTAATGGAAAATAAGCATCACTATTACAAGAATTTGCATATTGTTTTTCCTTATCCTTTGTTCGCTGAACCGTAAAATACATTATACCTACCTTCCGTGATGAAGAAACGCAATAACTGTCCGAAGTTAAAATTAAGTACGTGAAAGTGACTGGTAAAAGCTGTATTATAAAATCAAAGGGCTCGTTGCAAGTATGAGTATAAGAGTTTTAAAATTCCCTTTAGTTTGGGCCGTTGCACTTTGTTGCTTGAGACTCGTCTAACCGGCCTATTATCAGGCGGCGGGTCGATTCATCGCGCGCCCGTGGCCAATGTGCTGGGATATCACCAATCGTAACTGCAGGCCATATTCAACCCACTGCCACGAAGATGCCATCTGTGCTTCGCTTGTATTTAGTAACGCTTTCAATGGAATTTCAAGTAATCTAAAATAAAGCGACTGACTTTCCAGTACCTACTCGAAAGTAGTTTCTCAAAAATATTATTTGGATACCGCAAATAAAGATATTTTGGCAAGCTGCAATGCATACACATGCAGGGGCATCTCTGCATGGGCATGCATTGCAGCAATGTCGGTGAATTTTATTGTTTACATAAGATAATATATTATCTATCTGCCTTAATATGTATACATAATTACTTATAATACCTAATTAAGTAAGTTAGGAATGCCAACAATTTTTAATTTAAAACAACAGTGTTTCTTTTGCAAACTGTTGATGCCCATGACTAAGTCTGGGTATTATAATTGGTTTTCCAACACTCTATTTTGTCCCCCTAGTAACCTATATCCTTTTCCAAGATCCCCTTCGTCCATCCACCCGTAAGAAACAAAATTCAATTTTATCCTTTAGACTGTGGAATAGAAAGAGAGGTTCTCAAAATTAAGCTGCGCGTTCGAATCCTGTGCATGATCTTCTTGCGCGGAAATTGAATAGGCAGCTTCGAGTGTTGCATTATAGTTTTCCTTTTCTTATTATTCCAATAAATTACTGGAATTTTATTTTTCATAATACCTAGGTAGGTAGTACCTATCAATTTAATTTAAATCATGTCAATTTCCGTTGGTGGCGATTTCTGGTATAAATGACCACTCAACTGCGTACCCAATAATTGAGAACTTGAATCACGAGACAATTATGTCCAGTACGATTAGTATAGAAACTACAAGTAACATTTCAAATTTATGTCTTTGGAATAAAACATCTGACGGCAGTCAGCAATAAATATTGTTGGAGTACTGAGTTGTGTCGAAGTTTATCGAAATTCCCTGAAATACTGATTTCAACTCCTAAACAAAACCGCTGGACTGGTTAACCTGGGAATAGAACCGAGGTCTTCGGAGACGGTTTGTTTGATTGTCTATCAACTAAAATTTAATAATACCAATCACCTTGAACTTGAGTTGTCACTTGACAATAAACAGCAGAAAGTTAGCCGTGTTGAATGATACGCTATTCTTTCTTTATAATAGTCCGCTTGAAGCGAACATTATCCGTGAAGAAAAGCGAGTAACTATCTTCAAGGTTCATCGTGATCACGACCCAACCGAGGCTGGGCCGTCAGCTCTTCTGTATAATTGCCAATTAGTTCTGCGATCCTCGATGCCAAACGGCTGAATTTTACAAAACAACATTATACTGAGTCAACAGGGATCTTGTCTTGCTCTTATGCAATTTGACCAAGTTCCAAGACCAACAAATCCGCGTGATGGCGACAGATCAGAGTTAAAGGCAGGATTGATTATTCAGAACATATTTGCTTAATTGAATTATAACATATAGGAATGTCTGCATATAGTTACTTCGACGGTTAAGACGATCCTACCTGCATCGACAATAACAGCGTTTGATGCTTCCACTTCTAAAATGTTTGGGTCCAATTTCAGCTTTTTCGTAATATATGTCAGTACGGTTAACGTTACTAAACTGCGTTAGAATTATTATTACTTATGTAAACGTATTTAAAACATACACGTGTTTTACCAATTGAAGGGTAAATAGTTATGTTAGTAGTCTTCCATTTTCCTATAAGATTCTTGTTAGAATTATTCATAGTAATATGGGTACGTTGTTTGATAAATTCGGTTTATTTATCTCATTTTAAAATCTCGAATTTCTTAAATACTATGCTGTATTTGTAATCCCAAATTAGCGCATTACATACATCGCTATCGGTTCCGAGAACAGCTGTTTATTTTAAAACCGCGAATCGGTAACGTAATCTAGACGACGGGCGCGAAGGCCCTACCGAAGGGATAATAAATACTCACGTCTGCGGTTGATAATTCGCGGTATCTGGGGTGTTTCTTCACTTGACACTGTCAATCACTGGGTTCAAAACACGCCGCGCGACCGTTTCCAAATAGGCGATCGCGCTCGCGGGATATTTTTAGAGCGGTAATACGACACCGGGCGCGGGCGTCGGTCGTTCGGTCGTGGGTCTGATGCGAGCTGAGGCACGCGAGTGGCGGCTCGCGGCCGGGCGCGGGTCGCCGCGACACCAACCCTCCCCTCCTCGCCGCGCCCTGGCTGGCTGGCACTGACTGGCCGCCTCGACGACGCCCGCGCAGCCTCCGAGGACGATACCCTCGCTAACAACCCTTTGTGTGGAACTGTGTGGACTGACACACTGCACCGGTCTTGCCTGGACATTATTAAGCACTGACAGAACGAAGCACACGAACCTTAACATATCCAGCCGGAACATTCTAAAAGGATAAAACTTTACTGGACCGCTGTTGATTATCCGTGAAATATACTACCCACATTCTTACTTTGTTTCTGACCATCGGGTAGTATATTGTTACTAACGGATTCATATTTATACCTGTACGCTACTTTATTTATATAATTTTCTCCATATTTTTGCAGTCTCGAACACGGAATATAACAGTAATGAGCTTTCAAGATTGCAAGTGTCATAAATGATAAATTGAGGAAATCAGTCAGTCGCCCATCGAATTAAGGATAGGTACTAATGAATACCTGTTTGCTTTTGACTGAAAGACTAAAATTTCGTTTTACTAAAGAGGCAAGATTTTAATATTTTTTGCAAGTTTTATTGCTTTTGATCGCATCGCAGATGACCTTTACAGGTCGGGCTTCGTGTGGCGAGATTCTTCCTCAAGCCGGATGTTTTTTTTATGTTTACCAATACGGAAATAACTTTATCTGCTTAAAGATCTGACCAATAATATGTTCCATAAAACTGGTGTACTAATAACTTATACCAAATTAAATTAGAAAAACAATTATAAACTCTTTTGCGGTTATTGCACCAGTGCACATGTCTCTTTTAAAAAGTTATGTAATTTTTTTCAAATTTGTAGATAGTGTTGTGTCATTAAAACGGAAAGTAAGTAGTAAGTAGATATTATTTATTTCATAAATGACACATTTTTATGTTCATTTAATTAATTGTTCATTTGTGAAATAGAAAAACTGAATGAATTATAGAGAATTTCATAATATTTATATTTCCTTTCCAAAGAAGCAAGCAGAACATATATCCGCTAGAACATTATTTTACAAGGATTTATTCGACGGTTTTATTGCTTGAGTATTTAAAAAAGATTGTTTCGGTTGAAGCACTTGCGAATGCGAAAAAATGAAACAAAAGTTGGAATATAAAATATTATATTATTTCATTCACTCTCCTACCACAGCATACAAACAACAGATGATTTCTCGTTCAGCTCGCGCCACCACAATAAACTCTATAAAAATAACTTAGGTAATTGTCTACTACTCCTCCTCAACTTCGTCGTCTGTCGTGAACTCGCTTTCATTGCCACCCTGTAGACAAAAAACAAATTATATAAGCATAAAAAATCAATTGCCACATGGTTCATATAAATACGAAGCATCACATGAAAATATATAGGTATACCCCGGCAAACTTCTTGAACAACGACCATAGGGAAGGAAGCCTGCACAGAAGCAATTTTACATAGAGGGTTCCCTACAAACTCAATTTAATACCTCTCCGCGTTCATGAGAAAAGTGGTAGTAACTTTAAAATTAACTAAAAAATTACGTTTTTCGCAATTTTTCCTTTATCTGTACTATAACACGTTACTTCGTACCAAATTTCAAGATTCTAAGTTCACGGGAAGTACCCTGTAGGTTTTCATTCCCGTGCGAGTTTCGAAAATTTGCGGCATAAATGGCTGCATCTTTTGATTGCTTTGGCTTAGAAGTTTGATTTTTTCACAGCTCCAAGGACAGTAGACATGAGTATTAGTTATGAATTTCAGTTTGATACCTCCACGCGTTCCTGAGAAAAACGGTCTTGACAGACGGACGGATGGACGGACCACTAAGTAATCCTATAAGGGTTCCGTTTTTTCCTTTTGAGGTACGGAACCCTAAAAACGTCTACTGCGCAAGTTTATTTGTCTGTGGTTAGGCCCAAGAAGTTTGCCGCTACATAAACCAGCAAAACAATTCAGCGGGTCGTTTTTGTAATATTGAAGACAAGAATCTTATTAACGATTTATTTTGGTAAACCCGTCGGATAATCCGGAAATCGGTGTGGTTTTTTTTGTATTGATATTTCAACATTTTTATCATTTTCCTCATTAGTCTAATTATAAACAATGCTCTAATACTCAGCTAGTAGTAGTAGGTAGATCACTTGTATTATCATAAACAAACAGTATGACAACTATATTCGAGAGATAATATTTTCTTGCTATATTGGCTAGATTGGGAATCGAACGCATGTCGTCAGAAACGTATTCGGCGCGTTTGAGTTTATACTCAATTTATACCCTGGCCCTGGAATAAAAGCGAATTTTTGCAACAAAATTGTGCATAGCATAATGAACTTTATGTCAATTGTATAAATACAGTTTGGATACGAACCAAAAACAAAGAGGGAATTCTCAAGAATGCGCGAGGATTCCACAGAAGACGCGCGATCATATTTAGCTTGAATTCCAATTAGTATGTTATACAATTGACTTTACGCTAGATTTGCGTATCGGGTGCTAACGACTGCAGATGTAGCCGGGGCCAACCGCATAACGTGCCTTCACAAGCACGAAGGAGCTCGAGAAAATAAATTTTTGGTCACACGGACAACCTAGGATGCCAGATTGAAAGTTCCTCGATTGCAGACCGAACTTAAGCATTGAACCATCGAGGTCTTAATTTGATTCAACAATTCAAAAATAATTTATTCAGTTTAGGCTTTTACAAGCACACGTGAAATTCGAAAACTACGGCGGGAGACCTTGTACTGAGAAGAACCGGCAAAAAACTCAGCAACGACTGCTTTCGGTATTTGATTCTCGGTAGAATATCCTATTGATGTCTTTTAAAATCTTAGCGAAGTCACCACCACTTAAATCATCAAAATTGCGGCGCGCTACGGAACAGCCTCGGAAGGAGTTGTCTGTTTTACAGCAAGACATCAACACTGCAATTATTCCGTAGCAATAAGGACAATAGTCGTAGTGCATGTAAGTATGTTCACTGTCATGACCTTGCATGTGGGTCCTTGTGTCATAAAAACTGCATTTTTTAGCAAGGTACTATTATTTTGCACATGTGTACTATACAGTCTATGGCCGAGACTCGTCAGCTGTCCGCCTAGTAATGTCAATGTCACTGTCACAGCAATTCTTCAACTCACAATTAGCTTTCTTGAATATTTAAACAATGTTAATGCATATTTATTAGTTCTGGACTGACTTATGTTGTTATGGAACGTGCATTGAGAATGTAACGACATGGTAATTGCACACTGAGGCCAATAATCTTTGCCCAGTTTAGGATTAAAAATAGTTAAGGAAATATGCAATCTTTTTTCTTGTAATTAAATAGTCTACAATTTCTAGACAGTAAAGTTTCGTTGTTGGTAACTCGCCAACAGTTAGCAAAAACAATATTGTTTTTTCTTAGTTTATAGTCAATCTTACTCAAAATACTTAAATTTCTTTGCTTGAAAATGTCTGTATTAAATTATGCCCTTTTAAAAATGAAAAACAAAACTAGAAAAAAATCCACCATCGTCGGTATCATCGTCGTCAAATTTTGTATGGAAGGAAAGTTCTAAAATTCGGTAGGTGCTGTCAAAGTTCGCGCTAGAGCCTCAGGTTTCAGATTTCAGGGACCTCGACCGAGTGTTTTATTCTAGTAAAATTTTCTTTGGATTAAAATACCGGGCAGTTTATGCTTAAACATAAAAATAAATATGATGCATCTACTGAATAACTATACAATACTACTTTGTAAAAAAGCAAGTAGGTAGTAAGCATAAAATATATCTACATAATATTTATTTCCCCAATATATTCATTATGTAATGATTTTTGATAGCTAGTAGTTAGCCGAGTAGTATATCAAATCGCCAAGTGATGACGTATTATTCAATGAATACAACGACACGTCATATAGTATAGTGTACGTGGATGACGTATTTTGAGTTAAAATAGTTGCGTGGTCAAACTATTCTAGGCGAAGACTCCCACGTTATTGGCGAGTTATTTCAATGTTAGGCTTAATATTATAGTTTATACAGTTTTCACCCATTATTGAGATCAAATATTCAAGAATGGCCTAAAACTGGCAGTCGGCCAACACTTTCGCTTGTACACTCATATATACCCTAAAGGGGTGGTGGAGGAGCATTAACAGTACCTATATTTATCAGGAAGAGATTATTTAACATTCGTAAAACTCTTTTTGTTTCTTAGGTTTTCACGCACACGTTTTCATTAAATAAAACAAGTTTCAACGGTATAGAGGCACGCATCAGGATGCGTTGTCTGAATTACATCCCGTATCCTGAAAAGGATGCGAAACGTCAATAAATAAATAAATCAGTGCATCTATACCGTTTAAACTTGTTTATTTAATTAGTAAAACTCAATTAGCGATATGATGTGAGTCGTCCATGTAAAAAATATTATATGGTGTCTTGTGATCAGTCGAATCTAATCATAGATTAAAGTAGTCTCTTTACGAAAAGACGAATCTTGTAATTTGTATGTTGTCTTTACAGCCGAGACTCGTTATTAAAGTTAAGGTTTTAATTCACTTACACGACTCTGCTCCCATCCGGTAAAATATAGTTCGAATACTGGTTTTACGTATTGGCCTATACTTACATTGACAACATAAATTAGCAGACAGGTCGCTGTTAGGGAGCCTACTGCTGTCAGACTACTCGATAGTTGACACCTCGCGTACCACGCGTTGCAAGCAAGCGGTCTACGCAGTGTTCGCGCGCTGTCTACTAGTAGGCCATTCTCACATTTTCTATTAAGCTATTCGCTAATAGCTATTCGCTAATAGCTTTCGGCGGGTGGACAGCTAGGTGCCTGCTAGCTGTCGCCGCGTGGTCTGCGAGCAACCGCTTTAGTTTAGAGCGGTATTGGGTGGGAGTGGAGCAGTCGTGTAAGTGGGCTAAAACCTTTAGTCATTAGAGTGTAACCCGGTTATTAGTCTTGCGTTTTGAATAGAGTCCTACAGGACTCTACCAATTAGAGTTTGAATTATCGCTGTGCTCTTTGATGGTGCCATCAGATCAGAGCGCCGCAGATAGAGAGTTGAGACTCGCCATTAGACATTACAGTGGCATTATGTGATTTAAGTCGAGTTTTGTAACTACTGTAGAGAGCCTGTTATTAGAGTGGAGTCCTGTGGCATGATTTAGATCTTGTCATTAGTGTCATCAGTCACGTCACTTGAGTCGAGCCTTATTGTCAGAGCTGTGTGTTAAGACATGATTCGAGTCTTATTAGAAGATTGTTATTAGAGTAGAGTCTTGTGACTTAAACCTTATTGTTAGAGTGCTGTTTTGTGTCTCAAGTTGAGCCTTGTCATTAGACTGGAAATTTATAACTTACGGCGAACCTAATAATTACAGATATTTTTTGTGACTTGCATTAAATCTTGACATTCCATAGAATTTTGCGACTTGGGTCGAGTTTAGTTATTAGTCTTGTGACGAATAGAGCCTGCTATTAAAGTGGAGTCTTGTGACATGATTTAGGTCTTGTCATTAGTCTCGTAACTTGAGTCAAACCTTGTTATCAGAGTGGAGTCTTATAAAATGATTTGATTCTCATCATTAGGAGTGCCATTAGTCATATAACTTAAGTCTAGCATCGTTAGTAGAATCGAGTCTTACAACTTAATTTAAGTCTTGCCATTAGAAAGATGTCTTGTTATAGTGAGACAAGGATCTTTATGAATGTGGCGAAAATTTGAACCAATGCCGCCATCCTTGTAAACGTCATATTATTTCGTATGTCATTTACGTAGGCAGCAGCGCCCTCTATGAATTGTCAATTCACAAAGACCCTTGTCGCACTCTATAAGAGTGCACCTACACAACGAAACGAAATACAGTAAAAACCGTTTAAAACGATTTCACAGGGACTCAAGCAAAAGCGCGTCTTAAGCGGGAAAGCGTATTATGCGGGATAGAGAAGAAAACGTACTACATATTAATAATTATTATATTCTATTGTTATTTCCAATGTAAGTATCGACATATTAAATGTACAACATTTAAAATTTATAAAAAATGTGTTTTATTATTACGTTATTTAAAATAATCACTTATTTTAGTTTCACAAAAAGATTTTGAGGTATTAGCACCTTATTTTAACATAATTTAACTTTTGCAGTGCGTCTTCCCTTTGATTCAAAGTTATATAGCGGCAGCATGATCACTTGGGGCCTCTTCTTGTTTATTATCAAGAGGTAATATTATGTGTGGTATGTGTTGGCGATTTAGGCGCATTAAAAGGAGCTCAATGGCGCCAGTGGTTAGCGCGTTCGGTTGTGGTCGTTGAAGTTGAGCAACTTTCGCAGTGGTCGGTCATTGGATGGGTGACCAAAAATTTACTATCTCGAGCTCCTCCGTGCTTCGGAAGGCACGTTAAGCCGTTGGTCCCGGCTGCATCTGTAGTCGTTAGCACCCACCAACCCGCACTGGGCCCGCGTGGTGGGTCATGGCCCAATCTCCCTAATCCATCTATAGGGAAGGCCTATGTCCCAGCAGTGGGGACATTAATAGGCTGATGATGATGATGAAACGGGATGACGAATCGTATTACGCGTTAAGAAATGATGAAAGGGGATGACGAATCTTATTACGCGTTAAGAAATGATGAAACGGGATGACGAATCGTATTACGCGTTAAGAAATGTATGAAAAACCTGTCTCAAGTTGCAGGGACTGACACAAAATGGCATATTATGCGAGAAATCGTATTAAGCAAGCGTGATCGTATTAAACGGGTCTTACTGTATAAGTAGGAACATGAATCTAGTCATTGGAGAGGGGTGTATAAACTGACCTGATCGTTGTTATCCGTGTCGGAGTCGCTCAGGTCCCACTGCGGGTGCTCCGCTGGCACGGCGGCCGCTTCCTTAACGTCTAGCTTCATGTCTTGTTGTTGATCCATCCCGATATAAGAGTCTGCGTAACAGACACGTGCGTTATGACTACATAATACTATATTAATAATAATAAATATTACCAACAATCACACTGATAGGGTATTTGACAGTATTAAAAATAAAGTGCCAATTGTTAGCATCTGTGTTTAGAATGAATATTGGCAGCGGATTTTACTATTTTTACAAAAAAATATTCATAATTTTACTAAAAACCCACGAAAAAGATAAAAGTTTTCTTATCTATTGTCACGTGACCCAAAACGCTTGAGATTGGCAGAGCCTAGAATGACGTCACACGCAGGTAAACTTCCGGTTAAAGTTCAGGTACATTGTATCGTTTGACGTTTTAATAACAGTCGTGTCACGCACAGAACACAGAAAGAGGTTAGAATGGCCTTGTGGGCGGGGCAGGCGCGTCACAGTTATGAGCAAATGCTCATAACTTGACCGTAACGTCCAATCGGGTCGTTTAGTTGCTCGCGAACGCTCAGTGAAAGAGTATTGTGATTACCGCTTAAAATATGCCTTCGTGTGCCGTAATTACTTGCAAAGTAAGGTGTCAATCATCAAATCTACCTAAAGCAGGAATTTCTTTTCATTGGTAAGTATAAAACTTCTTAGTTAGACTGATATTTTAGCAAAAAATCGAGAAATATTAATTAAACGATAAATCACATATATATTTCCACAAAAATATTGATTGCTGACAAAGTACGCTCGCTATTTTTTCTACGATATTCAAAACACGAAATGTAGTACGATCAAGCAAGAATGACGCGTGGATCACAGAGCGCTGCACGTGGCCGCACGCAGTACAAGGTCATTGCACCTACTTTAGTGGTGTCTTGCGTCGTACATTTTACATTTTCGATAGATTTTATCGACTGAATTTTAGCACCTAATAATGGAATTAAAGTAACTTTTAGAAATAAATAAAAACTGATTCTAAATGTTTATCATACTTAATATTATAAAGGCGTTTGTATGTTTGTTACTTCTTCACGTCTAAACGGCTGGAGCGATTTTAATAAAATTTGGTATGGAGTTAGCTGACACCCTGGATTAACACATGGGCTACGTTTTACTGCGGGAAAACATCCCTAATAAACCGCAGGTAACACAGCAGGGCACAGCTAGTACAATATAAATATAAAGTTGAAGAGTTTGTTTATAGTCCAGTCAAAATAGACAGAGCTGAAAATTGGCAGAGACGTTAAATACATCATTATCTCACTTTGATCATTAGCAATATAACCATTCTATCAATCAATAGGAAACGATCTGATCCAACTTTCTTTATTATAATACATCGTGCAGTATACCTACTGGGGAAACCACTTTAAAAAAAATCTGCCAAGTACATTACCTCATAGGTGGTGCAGAAATGTGTGTAAAACATGATTTTTCTAATTTTAAAACCGCGATATTTCACGAATGGTGAGTCGTGAGGGAAAAAGTGACTAGACCATTTTTGTAGAGAATTGTATGGTCTACAACTTTTGTTTGACTTACTTTCACGAAAAAAGTTACCGTTTTCAAGAAAAATGGAAAAAACCATAATTTTGTTTTAGTTGTTTTTTTTTGCAGAATTAGGATCGAAGGGGATTTTGAACATTTTATTTATAATTATCTATTTAACGTCTCTGCCAATTTTCAGCTCTATGCGAATTATCTCTAAGTTATGACTTATTTTTGTCTATTTTGACTGGACTATAGAGAGAATTAACTTGTCCACACAGTCAGTAGAAAGAGCATGTAAAGAGCTGAAGATTTTACTGATTTCAGTACACAAGTCATTGCCTACATAGCAGGCAATGTGGTTCCTGTCTTAATTAAAAAAATCAAATGCAATATTTGCCCTGGAGCCCTAATATGAGATTCAAGTAATAATTAACATAAAATTTCGTTAAAAGATAAAGGTGGCCTGATATATCCGTCCGTGGTGATGTTATTAAAATATGCAAAAGTGCAGAAACTGTAATACGACAACATGCAGATAATTTGAAAAAAAGAAATATTAGCCCCAAAAATATAAAAAAAAAATTATTGACTCTTCATAATTTGATGACATATCATTTCATCAAGTGGGTGTACCATTATCTAAACATTTAACAGATTCAATTAAAGTGGTAATTGAAAAATATATAGATATACGTCTATATTTCTTTTGAAAAATAACTTTAAAAAAGAAAAAAGGGTCAGCTTTTTCATAAATATATATTGTTTCAAGGTCAATAAAAAACTATCTGTAGTAATGCGTTTTACGTTAAATCATTTTCTTTATCTTTACTGACTTTGATAGGATACATAAAATTCCATACAATCAAGTCCAACTCGTACTTGGCATATTTAATATCGATAATATTTCATCGACTCAGTGCAACCACAAACGCTAAAATCAGTGTGAACGAATGAACGCTCACAGTCACGGCTGTGAGCGCTGATTCGTTCGGTTGCTTGATGTCGCGTCGTTTGATTGGCTTATTATCTAATAAGTGGAAGTGTAGTGGAGACGAGCCGGCGACATCGGTTCTGATACTGGCGATCGCTCATCACCCTTCTAACCTCTTCTGTGTTCTGTGGTGTCACGTCACACACTAGTAAAACGCCATATTGTCCAGAGAAACGTTTTCGCGGCAACTTGAAAATGGAGTTTTTGATTTGGTTATTTTTACTGAAATACACAACAGAATGATGAATATCCACTTTTTAAGGACTCCATAAACATTAATCAATAACGTGAGCTCGTTCTCTAAAAATTGTCAAATACCCTATTAGCCTAGCCCCAAAGTAAGCACTCTAAGGCTGGTGTTATGGGATACTAGGGTAACGGATAGAATACATAATGAGGGTTTTTTGGAATGACGGGCACCAGATGGCAGTACTGAGACGAAAGGTCTAATCATCCGTCAAATCGCATTTGATCTCATAGTCTATGAATCTGGTCTATGGAGTTGGCGCTAAAAAATTCATACAAAAGACCTCACGTAACAGTGGCGCCAACTGGTGATGTAAATTTTCATAAACACCCTCATTGTACATAATTAAGTATATTTATATAGAAATACTTATTAAACATCCATGACTGGAGTACAAATGCATCGTATTCATCACACAAACATCTGCCCCCACCGGGATTCGAACCCGGGACCTATCGAGTCGGCGACACCATGAAACCAGGTGTACAAACCACGGAGGTATGACGGAGGAGGAGATATTATAAGTAGAGATCGGATAATAACTCGAGTTTTGGCAAACAAATTATAGAAGGATATATGTTAAGAGAACGTAAAACAGCAAGAAGCATATCAAAATCAACAGTGCTGAAGGCGTTGCTAAAGTCAAGCAACGTCATCAGTGTAAGTTGACGATTCTCCAAGCCACATCGAATGTCATCCGAGATTTTAACCAATGCAGTAGTAATGCTATGACCGTTACGAAAACCGGACTGGAAGGAGTTTAGAAGTTGGTTTTGGTTAAGAAAACTTGACGGTAAACTAGTTTCTCCAGAATTTTGGAAAGAAAGGGAAGGATGGAAATGGGACGATATTCAGAAAATGAGGCAGGATTGTTTTTTTAGGAATTGGGATAATGTTTGTATCCTTCCAAGATGCAGGAAAAACTCCGGTCAAAATAGAAGTATTTAGGATGTGGGTAATAATGGGAGTTAAAATGTCAGAGATGGGAATAATCATTTTCCGGCTAATAGAATCACAACCAACTGCATTAGAATAAATCTTTTGTATGGTTCTCTTAACATCACAGTCGGCAAACTGATGTAAGAAAAAAGAAGAATCTTGAGTCGGCAAATTAGAAAGAAATTGCAATGTTTCAACTTTGCGGGAAGCATCAAGCGACATAGAAGTAGAGAAGTAACTATTAAGTTTGTCAATTTCCAAATCATTATATCTTATTAGTTATTTTCCATCTGATAAAGCTACGCTCCCAGGGCCTCATCCTTTCAGGATAGATAGCCGCAGTACCTATCAAAGATTCTCACCTGAGCGCAGGCAGCACGCGAGCGTATATACGCCGGGCCAGCGCGGCGCAGTGAAGCGTAGTTGTAACTCGTGAGTGTCAACTAATGCGGTAACATGAGCGGGCGCAGTAAGCAAAGTGTGTGATTTCCGGTCACATATGTAGCACCACCAGAATTCCTGCTTCTCCTGGTGCAAAAACGGTAAGGACAATGTTAATCAAAACACATTCAGTTATTAAAGATTTCATTATTTAGTCAATTTTATCAGTTGCTATTTTACGAACTCTCCGTGAATTGGTCCTTCGAGCAGGATGACAGATTAATTAATATTCTAAAGATAACTAGATAAGCGGTTAACATTTCAGCGATCGAGTTCAAAATATTCCTATATCTTTTATTTACATGGAATCCAGATTTATTGTACGTCTCTTGAGTGAAGTCGTTTACTGATCACATCTATGCTGGCAATAGGACAAACGCTTTACGCTAGAGACTAACAAAAGTCAATATTCACCTGTCTTTGAGCAATTTTTTTAAAGAGCTCGATGGCGCATGTGGTTGGCGCGTCCGGTCTGCGATCATGGAAGATAAATAACTTTCACAAGGGCCGTTCATAGGATGGGTGATCAAAAACTTATTAGCCCGAGCTCCTCCGTGCTTCGGATCATCTGCAGTCGTTAGCACCCATCAATCATTACTAAGCACGAGTGGTGGCCCAATCTCGCTTTTCCATCCATAAGAAAGGCCTGCCTGTGCCCCAGCAGCGGGGACATTAATAGGCTTATGATAATGATTTATATAGCTAATGTTATTCAAATCACCTGTGGAAAGTACGGACAATGCACTGGATGCGAGCACTTGGACCGCCCCTCCAATCTTTCCCTCTTCTGCAGTCGCTTCTGGAACTTATCCCATTGGTCGTCATCGTCTTCTGGAGCGGACGACTTGCCTCTGGACTCGTCTTCTGAGCCGGACGCGTGGGATACTGACTCGTCTGAACTGCCCTCGTCCGAGTCTTCGTCTGTACGAATGTAAGAAGACAGTTGAAACATAACGGATGTGATAATGTTCTTAAAGAGCTAGAGGCATAGATAAAAATAAAAAGGGAAGTTACGGTACGCTCATACTAACATCAAATAAAATATGTACCGACTCAAGTACATAAGCAACTCTCACAGACGCACACTTCTGTAAATAATATTCAATCGAGCGAGCGAGACAGAACCGTACGCTTCAACGCAGAGCGAGCGAGGCGGCGAATCAGCTTCCGAGTGCGAGCGGCTGAGCTGTATAGTTGTCCTTTTCTTGATAACAAAATGGCGATTACGTAAATAACATTCACGATAAACCGTGATTTATGAGATAAAAATGATTTTACAGTTTTACGAATGAGAAGTGTTGCCGAGGCATTTGTTATTTAATTTTGAACTATTTGTGTTCTTTATAAAAGCATCGAAGGCGTTGTTTTATCTTTATAACACAGAATATAGGCAATATTGTTATATTGAGTGTACATTCAGCGTGTTTGAATGCCCAATTGTGACTACAGCGAATTGTGATCGTGCACCACAATAGGGAAGATGCATATATAATATTTATGAAAATTTTATGATTAAAATGTTAAAAAAATATAAAAGAAATGCCACTGCAACGTTTTTATTTTACATAATGTTGTTTTTAACAATTATTACGAATTAAAAATACTTAAAACGGAACGTATTTTAAAACACCAATCAGCGTTTAGTGACGTCACTCCTGTTATGACAACTTCTTTGAGGTTATGGTTGTTAAAGTAAATATTATTTTATGGGAATATTTAGTATGGCTTAGTACCTTCGCCTGTCCCGATGGACGAAATTAAACTACTCTGGGAATATTTATTGCGTTTTTTTACATTTAATAAAAATGGAAGTTGCGTTTATCAAAGCAGACTCCAGGAATTTACCAAGACTTAGCGTTGACATGGTTATAACTTTTTTTGTCCAAAGTGCAGAGTTTTTAAGTGTAGAAATGAAAGGGACTAAATTACTACGGTATGTAAAAATCGTAGTTGTTAAACTTCGTATTTTATTCAGCGGCTTCTACAAATTTTACGGCGATAATGCAATCGGCTATGTCCAAATTAAAAGAGATGGAAAATTATGTACAGTGAAAGGTCGAGTTCTCCGGAGCATAAAGTACGTAAAGAAGGTTATCGTGTTACAGTTATTTTAAATGAAACGCAAAGCTTGGTTCAGTCCTGCCAATGGGTACGGCCAGAGTGCACTCAGATTCAGATTCAGACTCAGAAAACAAGCGCGAGAAATATACAGTGTAGTTTAAGCAGGTTGCCTGCTGCCACTATGGCCACCCTGCTTAAACTACACTGTTTATTTCTCGCGCTTGTTTTCTGAGTCTGAATCTGAATCTAAATCTGATTGCACTCTGGCCGTACCCAATGTGAAGATTGTGCCACACATTTTAAACTTTATCTAATTTTCGACGTCATTCTCCAATTGTAAAATTAAAAATATGTTATAGACAGGTTTTGTAAGTATTAAGTAGGTTACTAATGCGTTTTTACGTACAAGCAGATTAATTAAGCATATAACAAGTATATTCGCCGACTTACGTCAATGTGAATAATTGTCATTTCTCTTCGCAGCTTGAAACCACTTTTTTTTCAGTTTTGGGTCAGAAGTTCCAGTCAAAAACAATTTATTTGGGAACTTTGTTGAAGTAGATTGGCACGGCTTTTTTTCGGAATATTAGTGGTATTGTTATGATCCCATGATGTTGATGGATAGTCCATTTAAAAAATTTCAAAAAAATATTTCGAAAGTAGAAAAAATATGCAAAAGTATGAAAATTTAAAGCCAGCAACGAACAATTACGACCAGTGACAGACAGGAATGACGTCATCGCAACCATAGGTTCGTTTTCGCGCGAAAATTTAAATTGTCAATTTAAAACCGCATTTTTTCCGATAAATCACAATGTTTTAATTTTTTAATATATCTGTGGTTTATTCTACATGGAATTCTTGAAAATGAAAACAAAAATAAAAATATTGCATCTTCCCTATTAAAGCAGATCACTTTTGAGCCGCAAATGCCGTATCTGCCTTTTTGTTTTAATCTTAGGCTAGAGGGTGCAATAGTTAGTGCGTTCGGTTATCGTGGAAATTAAGTTACTTTTGCAATTGCTGGTCATAGGATGGGCTATAGTCGTCCTCCGAACCGAACGCGTGGGATACTGCTCGTCTGAACTGACTCTTCATCTGTATGTAATGTAAGGCTGAATTTGTTATACCGCGAAATGGAGAAGAACGGATTTTTTGCAAGAAAATTATGAATGGCATTATAAACATTATAGCTTGACCGACCCTCTCGATGGTCCGCGGGACGCGGGGTGGCATCTCAAGATTATTAATATTTGGTGTTGTTGTTTCAAATGTGTTCCTAGTGTTTTTTTACGTACGATGTAATGTTTTAGTGTAATAATTTGTTGCTCATAAATGATTTGACGTTGATTTTGAAATATGTGCCCTCATTTATTTCAATGTAATATAAGTAAGGTAGTAAACTTCCGGGTAACTACTTGTGGTCTTCTTCGCCACCGGGAGTTGCAGCGATGTTGTCTGAGGACTACTATCAGCCCCCTACACCCAGCTTTGTAGTTCGGCGTCATGAGCAGGGCCCTACCCAGTAAAACCGATCATCCGGCATACACTCCAAGGATCGAGATCCCTCGAATGCATGCCGAGAGTGCGTGTATTACAGCAGAATCGTGCGCAAGCAGACCCTGCCCAGATGCACGGTTAAGGAAGCAGTTGAAATTTATTGCAAGTAGGTAATAATATTTATTAGTAGCAGTAGTTACTGTGTACGGTTTGCGATCGTGGAAGTTAAGCAACTTTCGCAATGACGGATTCACAGTTCACAGGACAGGCAACCAAAAATTTATGTTCCCATCTTGAGTGCTACCATGCTTTGGAAGACACGTTAGCCGTTGGTACCGACTGCATTTGTGATCGTTAGCGTATTACTAGCCTAATAACACACAAAAACCTTTCTATATTACAGCAAAAAATTTTAACATAAATTTAAGCCTTTTTCGAAATTGTTTTTAGTCACCATCATCCTCCTTTTTCTTTGGTTCCTTCGGCTTTTTCGCTTCCTTGGGTTCTTTAGATTCCTTCGTTTCTTTAACATCATTAGCAGGTGTCGTCTGTCCAGGTGCAGGTTTTGCAGGTTGCTTAGCCGCCGGTTTCTTAGCTTTCTTCGACTGAGGCTTCTTGCCCTGTTTCATCCACACTGGCCTTTTGAATGTCTCCTTTTTATCATTCTCCCCCTTTTTGTCGTTCTTCTCACCATCGCCTTTTTCGCTTTTTTCATTGGAACCGTCGTCTTCATCTCTGCGATAGAATCATGCATGAAATAGGATTAATGTTCAATGGTTTAAACAACGATTTCCATTTAAGCAGAGATATGGACCCAGTAATATACTTGTAGCAATGTTTTCCATCCTTGTCTTTTGAAGGGAATTGTGTAATAAAGAAAGCACTCCACTAACTTGTTGCCTTGGACAATTACAATGTCTACAGAGATTAAAATGCCAAAATGATAAAATCAATTTGGAACTTTAGGCCTAACCAAAAAGCTCGGAAATCAATTGCAGAATTCCAATCACATTTATATAAAAGACAATTGTATGCAACTTACTTAATTGTATCTTTTTCTTTTATGGTGGTGTCACCGAAAAGCTCTTTCATGTTAGTCCGCCTCAGGAATACTGTCACGGTCACTATAGCACCTGCCGTTACCACTGTAGAGTTTTCATCATCAACAACTGTGAAAAGAAATTAAAGTTAAAGCCAAAATTTCTTAAGTCAAATTGGATGTATTGGATCTGCTTAAACATAACAAATTTTCCTGTTTTTATATGCATTACTTACCTTCTGTATTAACTTGGAAATGTATGTATGGCATATTTCCAAGTACTTTCAACAGATCTTCATATTGCTTATCATTAAGGAACTTCAGAACTTGTCTCCTTTCTTCTCCAGTCAGCTGTGCTAACTGCAGCAATGACTTAATGTGTTTCTTCCTGTTTGTGAAGTATTTCAGATGATCCTCTGTGATATAAGGCAATTGGAGTAAAGGCGATTTGTACTCCCAAAGGCCTTGTACTATCATTGGTGACAATTTCATGCAGTTTTCAATCGTTTCAATAGTCGGTAGACGAGGTACTGTGAAAGGTAAAAAATTTGGTTTATTATTTTTCCAGTAATATCAACATAGTATAATTCAAGTCTCTATAAAAGGGCTTCTTAAGCATTTATTCCACCTTACTAAATTAAGACGTCCTAGTTAGGATCCTAAAAAGAAGGCTAATTAGAAGCTTCTGATTACACTTGACTAATTTAGTAACTGATTCAGTCAGTCACAAGGGCGCGGCGAATTCAGTCGGACTTTTTCGTAATGGCTCCAGTCCTGTCAAAGCAACAAAAAATCTGTGTTTTCGTAGGCCTGGCCGTTGGTTCAATAAAAAAAAGTAAAAAACGAAAAACGAAAGCATATTAACATTATTAATGTTATTTCTATTATTTTTGTTCCAAAGATACGGCGTATGTTTATACAATTCGATTATGTTACTCATAACTTCTTTTCCTTTTACCGCCGACACACACTCGCGTAATTCGTAATCGTAGACACAACACGTCCTCACGTAGTGACACCTGCGGTGCGACTGAAGCATCTAAACGCTATTACACCTTCCTAAATCGCGTTCTAATTAGGGTACTAAATGACTTAGTCAGTCAGAAGTCACACTTCTTCCGATTTAGGATGCTAATTAGGATTCTAACTTCCTAAATGCTATTTCTCTGGACTGAATTAGTTACTGGATGATTTAGAACGTCTGAATTTAGACAGGTGGAATAAGTGCTTTATAGACTATTAAAATATGCTTTAGGAGAGGAAAAACAAGATGTTGGATGTATAAAGTTATCTTATTAGCAATTTAAATTTGCCTTCCATTTCACCTGGACTTAATGATTTTAAGGGGGTAAAGATGGAAAAAGCACAGGCGTAGGGATTGGGTTTTATGATTTACCTTATTAATTAGACAATAGACTTATTTTAACCCATATATTAACAGTATTGTAACATAAAGAGATGCAGCTATAAATCAAGTTATTTAAAATTGACTTGGAACTTACTTCTACGAGCGTATGCAAGAGCTATCAGCTGATTAACACAGTTGACCATTTCGACTATGAGATCAGGACAACGCGACACGATGTAGCGACGGTCGCACTCCAGTGTATCGGGGGGTAGTTTCATGCGGGACAAATGGGCGTGAAGGAGTGCCCGCGCTTTTATACTGTATGGGCGACATAATGGCTGCTCCTTATTCTTTTCGCCTAGATTCGGTAACTCGCGAAGCAACTGCAGTGATAAACGAATTAATAAAAACAAATGATAGTCAATGAATATTTTATATTTTAATTTCTTTAAGTGTTTAAAAGTTAGATGTTTAAAGAAAATTTTACTAGACAAAATTCTACGCGGACCAGGCTGTATACAGGACTCGAACCCGCACCCTCCGCTATCCAGGCAATTACACTGACCATTAAGCTACCGCGGCCGTAATTGTCCGTGTCGGAATTTTCTTTAGCTTTTCTTAGGCAGCAATGCAAGTTTTCTTTAGATTTAAATGAAAAGATTCCTTAAAAAAATATGACAAAAAAATGGTTTGTTAATTTTACCTTAGTTCAGCTTCATCACAATGAAAACATAAATAACTCTGATAAGTTTCTGCTCAACTATTTACACATAAAATATCAATGTAATATGGTTAATTTAAAAAATTATTTATCAACCTAAGCTTATTTTGAGCATACTTTCCTGTTAATAAATAAGTCATAACTCACCATGGGCACTTCTTCATTATCAGTGATCCTTTCCACAATTTCTGAGTTATGCCTTTTGTCAAATTCACATGATGCAGCAAGAATCATCAGAGCTCTCTTTAAGGGCATGGATGGTGTTTTGTGACAGAAATAGAAATACATTTGTGTTGTATCCAACAAAACTTGCTCTCCAGAAAAACGTATACTTCTGTACCACCATGTACCCACCTATAAATGTATCATTTTTTGATTTATATAAAAGAAAAAAAGACTTGAGCTTTGCTGAACATTAATTCTATACTTACTGCAGTAGGTAAAGCAACCATAAACACAAGGGCATAAAGTCCAAGTACCCACACACTATTCTCTTTCTCCACAATCCAGCTGGGCAAAGCAATACCAAAACTCATAGCTCCTGGACCATCAGGGTTGCCATACTTCTCCCAATTTCTTCTTGCTTCATCATCAGTTAGTGCCTTAAAATATTTTCAGTACAAATTAATATTATGGGAAAATGTTGGAAAATAAAAATGTTGCAGTAGAGGCATCATTTGCCGAAATGGGTTATGTGGGCTCTAGGGAACATGTTGTTACAAATAATATTGTAGAGAAGTACATACATGTAAAGAACCTAATATTTGTCAACCAACTAATAATACACAAAATAAGAAATCTTTAAAAATACTTTTTTAACTGTTGTGCGAGTAGATGTAACTAAGCTCTAAAATTTCGGGTTTTTTTGATGATTCATGATTATTAAATTGTTTTTTTTTTAATTCTATAACTCTAATATATAAAATTTTTGTGTCACAGTGTGCGTAATTGAACTACTCCAATATGGCTTGACCGATTTTCGTGAAATTTTATATCCATATTTAGTAGGTCTGAGAATCGGACCTACTAAACTACTATGGAATATCTTTGTTTATTTTCTTGACACACAAAAATACTGTATGTATTTTTACCCTAAATTTTCACCCTTCTACCACCAACCCCTATTACAATATAGTGGTACGAAGTTCGCTAGTGCAGCTAGTATTTATATAAAATTTACACATAGCTGCTAAATTTAAGAATAGTCATTGGCAAACAGTTAGAAATTGCAATATAAAGACAGTCCAAGTGAGTATAAATTTTGTTTCAACCCCCCTTGTGATTAATAGTTCAATGCAAATTATATAAGGAGTGAATATAATTTAAAAGCATTTTCTAACTGCATATTTAAACAATACTTATTATATCCAGAAGATAACTCACAGTTTTGAAACAGATTGTGATTACAACATTGTTGTCAATTTATCTGTTTTCTAAGTGAGATACTACATCAATAAGTAATTTCACAGTTTTATACATAATATTGTACCAATCTAATTAATATCAGCGGTAAAATTATTTTCTTGTGCCAATAAAGAAACCATGATTTTAATAAAAAATCTTCTTACCTGGTAAGCTTTTGTGAGTTTCATGAAAGCCTTCTCATCACCTGTCTCTTTATCAGGATGGAGTATCAGTGATTGTTTACGGTATGACTTTTTAATCTCGGCTTGGGTAGCACCAGGTGGCAGGCCCAATATATCATATGGATCGAAGTTTGACATTTCATAATCAAACTGTGAAACTTTGTATGCAAGAAAACCCAGCAAAACCCATCCAGATATAATCGATAGTTTGATGAAGAAATTTTTTACGCCTTTGTATGGTTGTGATTGCTCTATGATTAACTGTTTTTTTACACAATTTGGACATTGACATAGTTCTGCTCGTTTTGCTGGATCTGAAAAAATATGAGGTAAATGATATAGCTAAATAATTATGGGCATGCATTAAGCGGATATACAAACTAATAAAAATGCGTGCTAATTGTGTCGCTGTTCGCTTATTATGGGTATAGAGTTAATGGTACTGAATTTATTAGTTCAATACGTAAGTTACGCCACGTCTTCTTTGATGGAAGTTAAATTTCAATCTTGTATGCTTTCTGTGGGTTAAAAACAGGAAAACTTAAGCAAAACTTACCTTCTTTTCTTTTCCTAGGCCAATAATAAAATGTCGCCGGCACTAAGATTAATGCAAGGAAAGAGAGGACAAAGTAAAAGAATGTGGATCCACTTTCATCATATTCAAATTTCTGTCCACCCATTGTTATTTTCTATTTCAATTCATTTGAGAATAAAATCATTAGACTACACGCGAGTGTGATAGAAGACGTGTCATTTCTACTCAGAATATGTTGTTCGGATACGCCAACAAAAAGATTAAATGCTCAGTGAAAAACAGCCAATAGAATACCACCAAGTCAAAATTTTGACATTCAGTTGTGTTGCAAGTATTTCATTTGATATTTACTAGCGATTTATCACAGTTATTTTTTTATCTGTAGCCACAACCATATGATTTTGACGTTAACATGTCATTTAACAGGCTGACACCTGTCATTTTGTATTAAATTATTGTACTAACTAAAATTATTAAAAAATATGTACGAATACAAACTCCGCTTTTAAATTGAACTAACGAAGAATAAAATCACAGTAAGTTAAAATTCAACGAACAATAATCAATTTGTTTTACATATAACTATGAAAGCATAGCACAAAATCAACAACGCAGTTCACAAAAATTTGGCACAAGGACTGCGTAAAAAGATTGTAATATTTTTTTGAGGTTTATATGTTTTTCTTCTATTCTGTTCTAGATGGCGACTAAAAGTATCGCAAGTGCAACTGTAAGAGCTGTAAAGAAACGAGTTTTTCCTTCGCGAGCTGCCCTTGTTTTGACATCATCAGCTGTGAACAAAATTAAAGAAATCATGTCCAAAGAGGAAGCAAAAGGATTCATAGGTTTAAAAGTTGGCGTACGGCAAAGAGGTTGCAATGGGTTATCATATACATTAGATTATGCCAAAGGAAAGGACAAATTAGATGAAGAGGTGAAGCAAGATGGTGTGACAATAATTATTGACAAGAAAGCTCAATTGACTCTCTTGGGTAATTTATATATACGAGACATTACACAAACCCCCTTATTAATAAACGAATACTAAGCTTGGATTACTTACTCTATGTTTTATCTCTGCTTATTGAATGACAAATGGCACTTGTGTGATATGAAAAAATCATGGCGTAACTACTCTAAACTTATTCCTCATTTATTATTATGGGGGTAAGAGCCAGGAATTACATTAGCCAGTGACTTCGTGAATGCAGTGACCAAGTCACACTCATGAAAATCTAATGTATGTAAATACTCATTGCTAATTTCATATTAATTGTTAATTCTTTACCAATTTTTTTTTATAAAAAGAAAATCATCTAATAATGTATTAATTAAAAAATACTGTGAAACATTTGGAGACATAAATTTGTTTTGACATTTTATAAAAATATTTGTATGGATGTCTTTGATTAAACGTTGATGATGTCATAAGTTCATTAACAACTTTAACATAAAAGCAAAAGTGATTATATAAACAATGTGTGAATAATGAAAATTTCATCGTTATTTCAGGTACAGAAATGGACTTTGTGGAGAATAAATTATCAGCAGAATTTGTATTCAATAATCCAAATATAAAAGGGACATGTGGTTGTGGAGAATCATTTAGCATATAAATTATACTTTAAATTTAGCTAATATTGTCACTTAATGAGGATTCCTAACGATAATAGTTGAGAATGCAGATCTATAGAGCTATAGATTCCATAAAATACATTGGTTAAATTTTTGTTCTACTACAAATATTGACAGCTATAACCAAATTACTAAATGAATTTTCGGCTGGGCGCGTGGTGGCTGAGACGTCACAGAGCTCTAACGCTCGGGCGCATAGAGACGCTACTGAAGTTCGACTGCAATGAAGAATGAATGCTCGATCGAGCTTTGTAATGTCACACGTTTCAGCCGCTGGTGAATATTGGCTACCATAATATTAGTTATAAAATTGCAATAAATGAACCAATTTCGATGATTTAAAAAGTATATTAATTTAAAAGCTTATTAGATCATTATACTGTTGAATTTGAGTTGATTTGCTTACCTACTAGTGATCCCCATTCTGTGTTATAATGTTAAATAGTGAAAAGAATTTATTATTTATGTTGCACTCAAAAATATATTCATAACAATTTATATTTAGTAGATGGAAATCTCTTAGATTATATATTAGTTATTTGATTTCAGATATGTAACAAGTTTGCATTACTTCCTAAAAATTTTTATAACCAAGTTTGCTATTTGACTGTTGAAATTTTTTTTTAAATAGGCAAATGTTTATTCAATGACTCTCGCAAAGGTCTGGTTTATTTGTAAAAGATCTTGTACACTTATTTACTGATTGATCTGTGAGTCACCAATGTATATATATCTTCGTAATTACTATGGATAAACATTTAGTTGGCTTGTTACTTTTGTAAATAGAGGCTTTAATAAAATAAAATTAAGACATTTAATATGGTATTAATGCAGTTCCATGTGTGGAAAATAATATATTTATATTTTAATTTAGTTTTTGTGGTCATTGGCTCATCATAGTCAGAAAAAGTGAAAATGTTGCTTTTAAATAAGGGTTTGTAGAAAGGCTGTACTTAATTCAGTTCTTGAGAGGTTCGACCCTAACTGTAGTTATTGAGAATGTAATTTAAACCTGAGCCTGAGGTTATGATGAATAGCCATAGAGTTGCAAAGCTATTGTATAGCGTTTGACGTTAATAAGAGCTTGTAACGGGCTCGAACCTATACTGATGAATAAACGATTTTCAGTTTTGAATTGAACCAAAGTATTTTGTGGGATAAGATTTCTCGCTTCTGCTATGGCACTGCTGCAAGGTCACTGCGCTGCCGCTTGCCGCCGACCAATTTATAAAACCGTATTAATGACTACACTCCCAAAGGTTGACTGGCACAGATTGCTTTTAGCGTCAAGTCCGTTTTTGGCCAATCAGAACCGTACGCTCGCACCGGATTTCATATAAAGTCTAGGGGAACCTATACTAATGTTGGCCCCAAACAATGATTGGCCCTCTTGCATTTATACTAAAATTTAAAGAAATATATATAAAAAAGAGCAAAGATTTGATTGGCTTCGAAATTACTGGACCGATTTAAAAAAGAAAATACGTTTAGAATCCTACATTATCCCTGATGAGCATAGGCTATAGAGTGTTTTCAAAAAAGTTAGGGTTCCGTATGAAAACTTCGATAACGTAACCCAGTCCCCGTAGCATGAGCACCCCAATTTACATTTTATCGCGCCTAACTGCTAAACTCCATAGTAATTTGACAGTTGAGCTTGATAAAAACTACCTATAATGCGATTCAACTAACAACAGGACCGACTGGGCGCCATATTTTGACGTCATACTTGTCAATTCAAACCAAATAGGTAGAGTGAGCAAAAAAATTTTGTAATTCAATAAAACTTAGTTACTAAGATTAAGTGAGACAAAACATCAGATTTTTTAATAAAATTAATTTACTAAGGTTGAGAAAGAACACAATCGATTTTTAATAGTATTTCTTTATTAAGACTGTGTGAAAAAAACATTAATCAGAATCAAACTCTTCAATTTCGCTCATCTTTGCATTACCGCCGGAGAAGTTATGAATAATCATGCAGGTCACATACGAACATGCATCCTATATGTAAACGGAAGTTTTAAATCGAGTTTCTAAACGCAACATAAAGTGACAATTGGTTGACGATTTAGGTTATCAACCATTCATAGCCAATACTCAATAAGTGAAAAAAAAACAAATAATATTAATTATCAACATTTCTGATTGTTTGTTTAAAAATGTTTGGTTTTTATTCTAGAATCAGCTGAGTGCTAAAAAAGTGTTTCGAGATTTTTTGGCAAACCATACTTTTCAAGCGACATTTGACAGATGGAGGTCATTGGCTTTCCTATTCTTATTTGAATCGCATTATTTAAATCACATCGCGGTGGTCATGCTAGGGAGGCAGGTTATGAAAAAAATGGGTGCATGTACTTATGTAGGCCCGTGAGAAGTTATCCTTCTTTGGCATCGTTTAAAATTAGTTTTTAATTGCATTCAAATAATTAATTACAATAAATTAATAAAAAGTCTGGAAAAGGACACAGTCAATAAAGTTCAGTTTTAATTTGAAAAAATAAATAAATAATCAAAATATTCAATTAAAATCGCTACTGAATATAATTTATTAGAACATATGTGATTTGCACTTGTATGAAACTCAAACACGTATTCCGAATATACAAACTAGAAACATGTGGATAAATATTATAAATATGAATACCTATAACTGTTACTTTATTACAAAAAATAAAGATGTGGTTTTTGGTTCTACTACACCAATGGTCAAGAGATGGCGCTGTAGTCTCCTGAATCGCGCTTTGGTTCCGTTGTTCCAGATTAATAAATACTTTTGATAGGCCTTCACAATGCAGTCGTTAGCACCCACAAAATAGAGATTCTATTTCTATTTTGTTGGTAGATTTTCTTAATGTGCGGTAAACACAAAAGTAAAGCGACCAACTTCATTATGTTAATTTTTTGTGTTACAGTGATGCGCGCGCATCTTAAAATTTCACTCTCATCAATTTTCATAACGCGCCTAAAGAAGTATAACTTCAAAAAATAACCTTATATTGCTTACGTTGCGGAAGTCATTGACAGTGAAAATATGAAATATATTTTTTGGAACTAATTAAGGTTACATGTATAATTAGGTTCGTTAATAGCTATATTAGTTTCTAGAACTGTGTTACAACTATTAGCGTCCACCTCCAGATACAGAGACGTGTGTTCCATAATACATAAATAAAAATTACAGTCATATCTTACCATTTACTTAAAGATAAAAATTATGTATGTGTGTGTGTTTGTATATATGAGTGTGTGTGTGTGAGTCTGTATTTGCGTGTGTATCTGTATGTGCATGTGTGTATGTTTATGAGAGTGAGAGTGTCCGATTGTACTAAAATGATAGTTACATGTGATTTCACATGTATATCCGTGTATTATTTGATGACCCTGAGTAAGTTCTCCGTTTCATCATATGAAAGGGAATGCAACCACTGCCTAGCAACCGTCTTACACTTATAAAGGGTAAGTGGATATATGTCAATGATTTTGCTGGCCCGGTTTTATAACAAAGGAGCAATGTTTGAAAGGTGGCGACGAGACAATGTTAGCCTGCATCTACTAATTTTGCAAACCCAAAAACCAGTAGAGCAAAGTGATGTACCAAAGTTTTATAGCGGACATCAATAT